GATGGATGTGCTACTGAAAATCTCATGTACCAACATGTCAGGGACACTACTAGAGAGAGAGGGGAGGATGAACCAGCAAGACTGAACCTTGTGTTCACCCTGAGCCAGTCAGACATTGAGGTCATTACTTATGAGAGGCCCTTTGGAGCTAGTGATCACGTGGTTCTGAGTTTTGAATATATTGTAGATTTACAAGTGGAGAGGGTAACAGGAATTGAATAGGAAAAGCCAAACTATAAAATGGGGGACTACACAGGTATGAGGAACTTCCTGCAGGAGGTTCAATGGGACAGAGAACTGGTAGGAAAGTCAGTAAACGAGGTGATGGAATATGTAACAAAATAAATGCAAGGAAGAAGAAGAAAAGTTTGTTCCCAAGGGCAACAGAAATAATGGGAAGACCAAATCGAGTCCTTGGTTTACCCGAAGGTGTAGGCAGGCAAAAACTAAGTGCACCAGAAAATGGAAAAGGTACAGGAGGCAAAGGACCCAGGAAAATAAAGAGATTAGTCGAAGAGCCAGAAACGAGTATACATAGATAAGGAGGGAGGCCCAACGACAGTACGATAACGACATAGCATCGAAAGTCAAGTATGACCCGAAACTGCTGTAAAGCCACATTAGGAGGAAGACAACAGGTGATCAGGCTGTGGAATGAAGGTGGGGAACTCCCAAGAAATGATCAAGAGGTATGTGAGGAGCTCAACATGAGATTTAAAGAAGTATTTACAGTGGAGACAGAAAGGCGTCTAGGAGGACAGAACAGAGGGAGACACCAACAAGGAATATACCAACAAGTGTTGGATGACATACATACAACTGAGGAGGAGGTGAAGAAGCTGCTAAAGGACCTTGATACCTCAAAGGCAATGGGACCAGACAACATTTCCCCATGGGTCCTTAGAGAGGGAGCAGAAATGCTGTGTGTGCCACTAACCACAATCTTCAACAGATCCCTTGAAACTAGCAACTACCTAAGATATGGAAGACGGCAAATGCAGTTCCCATTTTTAAAAAAGAAGACAGAAAAGAGGCACTAAACTAGAGACCAGTGTCACTGATTTGTATAGTATGCAAAGTCAAGGAGAAGATTATCAGGAGAGTGGTGGAGCAACTGGAACGGAACAGGAGTATAAACGCCAACAAGCATGGATTTACGGAAGGCAAATCCTGTGTCACAAACGTTCTGGAGTTTTATGATAAAGTAACAGATGTTTGACACGAGAGAGAGGGGTGGGTTGATTGCATGTTCTTGGACTGCAAGAAGGCCTTCGACACAGTTCCTCGCAAGAGATTAGTGCAGAAGGTAGAGGATCAGGCACATATAACAGGAAAGGCACTGCAATGGATCAGAGAATGCCTGACAGGGAGGCAACAACGAGTCATGGTATGTGATGAGGTATCACAGAGGGCACCTGTGACGAGCGGGGTACCACATCCCACAGGGGTCGGTCCTAGGACCAGTGCTATTTTTGGTATATGTGAATGACATGATGGAAGGGTTAGACTCAGAAGTGTCCCTGTTCGCAGATTATGTGAAGTTAATAAGGAGAATTAAATCAGATGAGGATCAGGCCATATGCAAAGTCATGAAGATCGGGGAAGGGCAAAGAAGACCGCAGACGGAGTATAGGCTAGGTGGCCAAAGACTGCAAACCTCGCTCAAGGAGAAAGATCTTGGGGTGAGTATAACACCCAGAACGTCTCCTGAAGCACACAACCAGATAACTTTTGCAGTATATGGGTGCCTGGCAAACCTGAGAACAGCGTTCCGATGCCTAACTAAGGAATCGTTCAAAACACTGTACACCATGTACGTCAGGATCATACTGGAGTGTGCCCCACCTGTTTGGAATCCACCCTTGATCAAGCACATTAAGAAATTAGAGAAAATGCAAAGGTTAGCGACCAGCTTAGTTCCAGAGCTAAGGGCAATGCCTAACGATGAAAGGTTAAGAGAAATCTGCCTGACGACACTGGAGGACAGGAGGGTTAGGGAAGACTTTGTAATGACATACAAAATACTGCGTGGAATAAACAAGGTGGACAGAGACAGGATGTTTCAGAAAGGACACAGAAACAAAGGGTCACAATTCGAAGACCCAGATGAGTCAAAGGGATGTTAGGAAGCATTTTTTCAGTCATAGAGTAGTCAGGAAGTGGAATAGCCTAACAAGTGAGGTAGTGGAGGCAGGAACCATACATAGCTTTAAGATGAGGTACGATAAAGCTCCTGCAGCAGGGAGAGAGAGGTATACCCAACAGACTTATTCCCCTATAATTTTGCACTTTCTTTTATCCCCTTTGCCTTTATACAAAGGAACTATGCATGCTCTCTACCAATCCCTAGGTACCTTACTCTCTTCCATACATTTATTAAATAATAGCACCAACCACTCCAAAACTATATCCCCACCTGCTTTTAATATTTCTATCTTTATCCCATCAATCCTAGCTGCCTTACCCCCTTTCATTCTACCCACTGCTTCACGAACTTTCCCCACACTCACAACTGGCTCTTCCTCACTCCTACAAGATGTTATTCCTCCTTGCCCTATACACGAAATCACAGCTTTCCTATCTTCATCAACATTTAACAATTCCTCAAAATATTCCCTCCATCTTCCCGATACCTCTAACTCTCCATTTAATAACTTTCCTCACCGATTTTAACTGACAAATCCATTTGTTCCCTAGGCTTCCTCAACTTGTTAATCTTGATCCAATACGCAATACAGTCGCAGACAGGCTACTTAACAATACAAGACAAGCCAAATAGAAGAAACACCTTCATCATCACTCCATCACTGTCTTGCCAGAGACGTGCCTGTACTATAGTTAGATAACTGCAACATATCTCCTCCCCTGTCTTCAGAGTGCAGGCAATGTACTTTCCACTTACAGGACTCAAGTCTGGCTAACCAGGTTTCTTGAATCCCATTATATATGTTACTTTGCTCACGTTCCAACAGAACGTCAAGTCATGAAAACCATTTACCCTCACTCTCTCCTGTTTAACTCGCTCACGCACGCTCTCTGTTAAGTCTAAGACCCTCGCACACAGAACCACCTTTACCCACTCCTTCCAACCGGTATAGAGTTATTCACAATTCAAATCATTCTATTTTATACCATCCTTTCTATATGCCTGAATCACCTCAGCAACCCACCTCCCCCCTTCAGCCCTCTTAATACTTTTAGTGACCCCTCACCTCCATGTAATCTCCAAGCTCTGGTATATTCATTGCATAATATTCATGCCACACATTAACCTCAGAGAAAACATCTCACCTGCCTCCAGCCTTCTCCTTGTTGCAACATTCAACACCCACGTTTTTCATCCATATAAGAGTGTTGGTACCACTATACTCTCTTACATTCTACTCATTGCTTCCATGGATAGCGTTCTTTGTCTCCAAAGACTCTTCAGTGTACTCTTAACGTTTTCCCACTCTCGTCATTTCTGTGGGTCTTTCATAGCCCCATCTGCTAACAAGTCAACTCCCAAATATCTGAACACATTCACTTCTCACAACTCCATCCTTCTAATCTGATATCCATTCATTCATTACGTATTTCTTTTCCTCACCACCTTGGTCTTTCCTATGTTCACTTTCAATTTCCATATTTAACATACCCTCCGAAACTCGTCTATCAACCTCCGCAACTTCTCTTGAGACTCTCCCATAATTTCGGTTTAAATCTTAAATGACGCACTTTTAGATAATGAACAGGTGCAGAATCTTTTTGCCATATCATTTTCACAGATGGGTCGTCCATCACGTCTCGTAGTGTTTGGTAGGGTTGAGGGATGTGTCTCACTGCCAGAAGAGCCATGAGGTTGCCAGAGTAACTCCGTGTTAACACCAGTGTCACCATCATCCACACCATCAACACCACCCGCTCCCACAACCAGTATATAGGCAGCGTCGTATCTGTAATGATTGACAAAATGTGTTTGTGTTGGCATCATTATCACCATCTTCACTAGTGGCACCAATCGCCCACAATACTGGTATACAAACACTGTATTATCCATCATGTATAATCAGATAAAAAGTACATAATATCGAGGTGTTGATGTATAAGGTTTACCTGCAACACTTAAGTTACTTGATAGACGTTTCTCCCACCAGGGTCTTTATTAATCTAAGACTAACACGCATAGTAGTTGTAGTAACAGAAAAGTAGTAGTAGCAATAGTGATTGTACTAATTATAAAAGTATTAGTAGAAGTAGGAATAGTGAGGGTAGAAATTATAGAGGTAACAGTAATTGTGGAAAATACTGTATATATTTTCGGGAAATACGGTAATTTATAGGTAAATAGATGCCCTATATTGTATTTTTAAAAGAAGTATGTTATCGAAAAAAAGTAGAGACACTCGCCATCTTGGTTTTTGATTTTGTATTAGAAACGTTGGTGAATGGGGAAGAATTTTTCGTGCTCTAGAGGTTAAAATTGTGCTGACACCTCTCAAATAGGAGGCGAAATTGGTGGATGTGCATTCCTGCATAACTTGAGATATTAGACGACTGGACAAGACAGCTCCAGGAACCTCAGATAAGCTCTCTAGATTTGTGTATAATTCTGGCCAGCATTATTTTCATAGATTTAGTTAGAGTGAGGTTTTCTGAGTATGATACACATTAATCTCCAGTCAAATTGGTGAGTGATATTAAGATATATTTTCCTTCTGTTATGTAATTGTGTATGTATATAACCATTTATTATTTTTAATATACAGTCCACAAAATTTATATATTTACCAGTATTCCTGGTTATACATATTTCATTGGTAATTAATAGGTCCAGAGCAACTTGTGGATATGACAGTGGTAGGTATCGAAGGGGGACATTTTTGCGACCTAGGTGTCCCAAATTCCTACTTGTCTAACTGATAAATAATAATTATCTATGTTCATTTACTGTTATGTACATAATTATACATACAGATAAATGCAATTTTCCACAGTAATAATTGTAGTAGCAATAGTAATGGGAATAATTATAGAAGTAATAGTAGTAGTTGTAGTAGCATTGTGATGGTAGTAATTAAAGAAGTAACAGTAGTAGTAGTTGTTGTCGTGGAGGTGGTTACGTAATTATGTTGTAAGAATACCGGAATAATTACCGAAAATATGCTAAGTAAGAGAGTACATGCTCAGTCAATGTCACACTATTGTTGCAACGTTTCGCTCTCTAGGAGTTTTGTCGAGCCTTTACAAACAAAACAAGACACAGATGGTATGTTGTACAGGATATGTAAAACTTACTATTTTGGCTTACGAGGTAAGCCAAAATAGTAAGCCAATGTCTACTGAATATATTTCTACAGTCATCATATTATGTCCATATATTGTACTGACATTTCGCCACTGGATGGCGAAAAGTCTACAAAGATGCCCATATGCTTCACATGGGCATATATTGGTAACAACATGAGGAGAAACAGCATAACCACTGCAGTTGGCCTAGTGGCCCATGTTGTTAGCAGTAGTAGTAATAGTGGTAACACTTGGATGTTATGTGATGGTGAGGAGAACTGTTGCTAATAGTGTCTGAAATGAATATTAAAGATGATTGAAGATATTTACGTCTGCCAAGCTAATAAATATACCCTCCCACCAGCCTTTCTAAAGTAAGCGAAATTGCGGGAGAATGTACAGAGTCATTATTGCTTGTACATACTCACGCGAGTACCTAAATTACTGGGAAAGCTTTAAGCCCCTCAAACTGTTATCCTTGAAGAGTAGAGAAGAAAGATGCACTATAATTTATATCTGAAAAATTTTGAGGGAGTGTACTCTTATCTGCACATCAAGATCACCTGGCAAACTGTGCATAATACTTCCCGTGAAAAGAAGGGAGGTGAATTCAGTAACACATCAAAATTCCCTCATGTATAAGGGAAATTATGTGTGATAAATGGTTTAAAACTGACAAGTTGAAGATTGAGACACTAATGCAACATATGAGAATCTTTATTTAAGAAACGTTTCGCCACGCAGTGACTACATCAGTCCAATATAAAGCAGAAAATTGTAAGGAGAGGAGGAGTATGAGGTAAACAGTTCCTCAGCCTGGAGTCGATGTGGTCAGTCCATCAATCTTGTATCCACTGTGTGGCGAAACGTTTCTTCAATAAAGATTTCCATATGTTGCATAAGTGTCATAAGGGAATTTACCAAGTAATACTCCCGTCCCCCGCTCCATCTGTCTTCACATAGAAATTTGATAATTACTGCATTCTATTTCATAACATGCAGAACAAAATAGAATGGACTGTGAGCGAGAAACCAGTAATGCAATGGTGCGAGTTGTCCAATGATGGCGTCAAGATTAACTGAGATGGCGGGTCTCAGAATAACTGTTGTGATATCGCAACGAATAGCGCTGATTCTGTGGAGGAATACCATTACCTAAGAAGCATTGATGCTTTGTATATTAATTCGAGTAATTAAATTACGATAAAATGAAGATTTCTATATTGTTTGTCTCGCCATATGTTTGATCGACATTTCAAATTAGGATAACATAAGAACATACGATAGCAGGAACACTGCAGCAGGCCTACTGGCCCATGCGAGGCAGGTCCAATTCTACCACCGGCTTAAGCCGATGCCTTAACCTAGTCAGGCCAGGTAACATTCACTTAAGGAAGGAGCACGACATCTGACCTAATACCACAAGCTAGTCAGGCCCAACTCACTCCTACCCACACCCACTCATGTATTTATTTAACCTATTTTTAAAACTACACAAGGTCTTAGTTTCTATGACTGAACTCGGGAGTTTGTTTCACTCATCCACAACTCTATTACCAAACCAGTGCTTTCCTATATCCTTCCTTAATCTGAATCTTTCCACTTAAAGCCACTGCTGCGAGTCCTGTCTAGGCTAGATATTTCACGCACACTATTTATATCCCCTTTATTAACTCCTGTTTTCCCTTTACACATGTCAGTCATATCCCCTCTAATTCCTCGCCTTTCTAGAGAGTGCAGATTCAGGGCCCTCAGTCTATTCTCATAGGGAAGATTTCTGATACATGGGATCAACTTTGTCATCCTCCTTTGCACGTTTTCCAGTGCATTTATGTCCATTCTGTAATATGGTGACCAGAACTGTGCAGCATAATCTAAATGAACCCTAACCAAAGATATATAGAGTTGAAGAACAACCTGAGGACTTCTATTATTTATACTTCTTGATATGATGCCAAGGATTCTGTTAGTTTTATTGCGAACACTTATGCACTGTTGTCTTGGTTTCAGATTACTGCTAACCAGAACTTCTAAGTTCTTTTTTCGATCAGTAATATTAAGATCTACATTATTTAGTAAATATGTGGCATGGTTATTTTCCTGTCCAACAATTAGAACTTTGCATTTGTCTATATTAAATTTCATCTGCCACTTCTCCGACCTCTGCATTAGTCTATTCAAATCATCCTGGAGTGCTCTAGTGTCCTCATTACAATGAAGTGGACGGCCTATTTTGGTGTCACCAGCAAATTTGCTTATTTCGCTTTTTATTCCCTCATCTAAGTCGTTTATGTAAATTGTGAACAACAAGGGGCTCAAAACTGAGGGACTGACAACCTCAAATTCTACGACTACAAGGGTGATGGACTGATTACATCGTCTTCACATCTCTACTGTTCCTGCCTATTTTCTGTATTCGACTGAAGAAGCCTACTGTGTAGGCGAAACGTTTCGGAATAAAGTTGTCTAACTGTTGCATATGTGTCTTACCTAATAACACCCCTGTGGAGCACCGCTTGTGACGTGCCCCCAATCGGATTTCTCCCCATTCATGCAAACTCTCTGCTGCCTATTTGTCATCCATGCATCTATCAAGGAAAAAAATTTCTCCTCCTATTCCGTGTGCCTTAAGTTTCCTCAATAGTTTCTGATGTGGAACTCTGTCGAAAGCCTTACTGAAGTCCATATACACAATATCATATTCAATACCATGATCTACCTCCTCAAATACCTTAGTGAAAAAAGTTAGTTAATTCGTAAGGTAGAAACGCCCCTTTGTAAAACCGTGCTGAGACCCATTAATCAATTTTTGCCTTTCAAGATGGCTACGAATTGCTTCGGCAATTATTGATTCCATAAATTTTTCCACTATGGAGGTAAGGCTTATTGGTCTCTAGTTCGTTAGCCACTGGGCCAGCTAGCTTTCCCAGTGGCTAATGCAATGGTCTGGAGTTTTGAGACTCTCTGACCACGGGTTCAAACCCCACCCGTGAAATGGTTTATTATCCAACCTGCTAACTATGTCACCAACACCAGCTCTTGGGAGGCACACCCTCTGTCTGACCTTCCTATCTCTGTTAAAAAAAAGCACGGTCCATATATCTTACCTGAGAGTCTCCCACAATCAGAATATTCTTATCTTGATAAGCAGGGGAGTCAGTGGTACCTTTAAACTGAAGTACATTCGTCTGGGAGAACAGAGAATCGATTTCCTACCTTAACATCTTCTCTATTAACCTTTCTTATCTTCCTTCTTCCTGAATTGTGAGCCACTTGCCATTTAAAGCAGTGCCACTCACCAACTCAGTGCTGGTATCCTTTACCTCCTTGCGAGCTTCAACCATCTCACACTTCCAAACCCTATTTTCTTCCTGAAGAAGTAGAGCCTCTTTCTTCAGCACTTTAACCTGATATTCTAAAATACTACAGCAAGCCATGGTCTCGATAACACCCCACGCTAATTCCCAGACAGCTTAGGACAGATGACCACACGTGACCACTGACGGACGCGATCCAGTCTAACCCTGTGCTTCAAAACCTTCACCTTGAGCATCAGTCCCAAGGTTTTGAAGCACTGGGTTCAAATAAATCACGTCCGAAGAATTGAGACACTTATGCAACATATGGAAATCTTTACTGAAGAAACGTTTCGCCACACAATGGCTTCATCAGTCCAATATATAGTAGAAATGGGTAAGGAAAGGGGGAGTTTGAGGTAATCAATCCCTCAGCCTAAACGTTTCTTCATTAAAGATTCCCATATGTTGTATAAGTGTCTCAATTCTTTAACTTGTCGGTTTTCAAAACCATTCATAACATGAATCACATCCGTTATACTAAAGTGTTACCCTAATTTGAAATGTCGATAAAACATTTGGTGTGACTAATAATATATAAATCGTAATTTTATCGTAATTTAATTATTCGAATTAATATACAAAGCATCAGTGCTTGTTAGGTAATGGAATTCCTCCAGAGAATTAGCGGTATTCGTTGCGATATCACAACTCTTATTCTTCGACCCTCCATCTCTGTTAATTTTGATGTCATCATTGGACAACTCGCATCAATGTATTACTGGTCATTCACTCGCCTTTCGTCTTTCACTATTTTGTTCTGGACATACGCATTAGGCTCTATTTTGAGTTATTAAAGTGTCCGAAATATTTTGCTTTTATATGCCCTATAAAACACATTTGGGATATTTATAAATTTTACTGCTTATTAATTGAATTCGCAATTTGTTAACATTTTTAAGTGCAAGAAGAATTTATCCCTGAATTTTGTTATGAGATTAGATGGGAGGATAGTTATGACTCGACATCCTTTGGTTATACCGATCAAAAAGTAGATCCTTGTTTTCTTTATTTCTGGAAACCTTACCTCTTCTGTGAAAAGTACTTTGAAGTTTATGATCATTAGTCTGTTCGTCACCAATTTGAAGCCTGCTGCTACCAGTTTAAAATTTGAATATCTTTCGTGTCATCTTAAATATGAGGATGGGCAGAAATCAAACACGTTTATTTTTGTGTACTCCCAGATGTGTAATATGGTTAATTAATCCCGATTGTAATTTTTATTACAAAATAACTTTTATGTTATTTAAAACATTTTTAGAAACTTAAGTTCTTACAAAACTCCTGTATCTTCTGTCTTGCCTAAGATAAGATTCGAAGGTTCACTTCTTTAACTCAACAGCTTTTAAAAACTTTGTTAGGATTAAATGCCAAGAGTATAAGTCCTGTAAGATGTAAACTTTTATGAGGAGAGGATTTAAGCTTGAGGAAAATGGACAAGAATTCACACACTTGTGACACTTTTATTGAAAACTTTTTGGTCCTGAGAGCTCGAAGTGAGCAAGGTCACAGAATCGAAAAGTTTTTTTTAGAAAGGCGTTGTAAGTATAAACAGTTTTGTCTACTTCCTTCAAGCTTTCGGCGGCCATTTGTCATTTAAGCTTCAGAGCTGCCATATGTGCGCACTCGACTGCCTTGTTTTTATCGCCTATATCCCAACATGTACTCAATAAGGGTAATTTCATTTATTTTCATTTATTCATTTATTCCCTCTTAGCTCTGGAAACGTGCTAAGCTTTACAAATAGTATTACAAAAAGTTATGTTTTCCAAATTATTAACCTTCGGCAGCCACCTTCTCACCTTGCAAACTAATTTCATGTTCTCTCTCTGACATATTCACCTTCACTGTTGTATGTGGATCGGCTTCTGAACCTTCCTCCGTCAGTTTTTGATCCTCAGAAAAAATCACTGCTGTTTATTCTTAAACTGACGAATACTGCTTAATAATTAAAACGATCTCTGTTCTTAAACGGAACCCTCTGTTCCTTAAAGACAAAATAATTCACTGCTATCTATTTTTAAACTGAAAACTCCACTGCTTAATGATCCATAAAATCCGTTATTTATTCTTTAATTGAAGACTCCACTGCTTAATGACCAAATACTTCGCTGCTGTGTATTACTAAACTGAAGACACTAGTGCATAAAGACAAAAATATCACTGCCATATATTCTTAAGCTGAAGACTCCACTGCTTAATGGCTCGCCGTCATTGTCAGGGCGAGACAATTTCCATTCCTGTCATGAAAATCAGAGTGTCTGGTCCCTGAGTGAGCACGGAGCCGCCTGAATTTCGCACACTTACACTTTAATAAATATTTTTATTACAAATAACATTTTTCATTAATTTATATAAATTTTGTTCTTACAATTCTATCTGCTAAGGCAGTGGTTCCCAAACTTTTTCAGCTTGTTACCCAATTTAACATGCCACATAAAGCATGTTACCCCTTTCACAAAATGTTGTTATTATTGATATATATGGCTAAACGTGAACGTATACAGCCTCGCATACTCTGCTAATCCTAGCAAAACCATTGAAAACGTAAGAACCACACGTACATTATATATAAAATTAATAATAGCTACAAATTCACAGTAACAGTGGGTAAATACTAACTATATACTGCACAGGGCAGTACACATACATACCAGCTTATGTCTATCTCGGCTGATGCTCACAGATAAACTGACAGTGAGAAATAGAGGCAGCCTCAGGAAGTGAGTGACGCATACTGGACAGGTCGATCTGGGCTACTGAGTGACTTTTGTCCTGAAGCATACTTGTCAAAATACTTTTGGGTTTCCACACACTTAGCTATATATTTCTTCTTTTCTAATACTGTATATTAGTTTTTGATGTTTATTGTTATTTGGTTTAACTTTATTACTTACTTATAAAAGGTTTACTTTACAACTTTATATACTAAGACAAAGTTAACAATAATCCTCATACCGGGTACCGCATTGTTTTCTTGATTTTCAGAATTCATAACTTTTTTTCTGTCACCCCTCCATTACCCCCCAAAAATGGTTAAGTTACCCCTAGGGGGTAATTTACCCCCAGTTTGGGAACCACTGTGCTAAGGGCAAGATTTAAGTGATCCCGCATAAAGTTCTGAGCATAAAGGCAATGATGCATTACTTCATCACGGTAACTGTAACTAAACAAAATTCAGAAAAAAGTAACTTAACATGAAGGACACTATATTTTCAGTAATGCGAACTTTCACTTTTCTGAAGAAAATTAAAAATAAAAGCCATAATTCAGTGCTTGGAAAAAAAACTCACAACTGATAGTTTAGAAACAAAATTTTAAACGACCTATCAGTCTGTCTTGGACTATTTTCAGGTTACGATCGATTGTGGGAAAAGAGAGAGTTTACTACAAGAAATACGGAGAGAGGAAGAAGACAGGTGAGGTGAAATGGAGAAGGAAGAAGACAGGTCAACAGAAGAAAACTTACCTTGTTGTAATAATATCCGAACATAGCCGAAGGTAACGTGAAACCAATAATTATGGACGTCACTCCCGATATAACAAGAAGACACAAGGAACACTGCAGCAGCAAGCACCACCAGTGTCCCCAGGATGGCCGCCCACACCAGCAGTGCCAGGGGGAACAGAAAACCCCAGGGGTTCAACTCTGGAAGACCACGGACCCCCACGATCCTCCAGTAGTCTATTACCATTGGTACAGTGAAGTCCACCACCTCGGCTCGCCATCTATCAACCATAAGAGGTCCAGCACCGATACTTACTTCCTGTAGAAAAACTGACGAGGTGTCAAAAAATTTCCAAAGCCGATGATGTATTTTAAGAATATTTAATTAGGATATTCGAAGCAAATGTGAGTAAGAGAATTGACAATTA